CTCACCACCGATTCCAGGTGCCGTTTGCAGGTCTTCTGACCTTATTCGGCCACTCTTTTCTTCTACTCCACTTGTAATTTAGTCTCTGCCACACAGTTAAATTTCTGACTGTTTGTCTGAAATTTGGCCGCCTATGGCCCTTCAATTCCCCTCCGCTTTACGTCATATTCGAGGATTTAGAGTAGGTGATGCCCATGTCTAGGCATGTTCCTTTCCCTACGCCTCAGACTCATCATCCAGTTATCCTTTTTCTCATCCCCACTCACATCGTATCTCATTCTTTGAGGCTCTGTACCCGGCTTAATTCGAAAACGCTGGTGTAAAAATTCATTCCGTCCATTTTCCACTCTTAAATCTCATAAGGCACTTTTCTCTTATCTCTTTAGTTGACAGACTGATCTAAACCTAGGGCACTAGTCTGTTGTTCATGTGTTAATTAGTTGGTATCTCTCCCTTGACCAGGCCTGCCATCGGTAACCTCTCGTTTGAACACACAGCCGAAAAAATGCCAATAAGCACACACTCACGCACACTAGATACCCATATTTAGCACACTTGCACCTTTAGCCTTGCACCTCTAATGTTATATGATCCTGTTCGTCAGTTCCTTTAAAACAGGATGTCCACAGACTTCCTGACCTTCCGTTTTCACTTTGTTTTACCTATATGAGGCCAATCAATTTCAATCCTTGCAATTTATGCTGTAAACTCCAGAGTACTACATTTTGTTGATTTATTTAAGCAAAATGATGAAGAGGGTTGTCCTGTCCCTCAAGATTGTACGAATGCTCCATTTCAATATTATCGACTGCAGTTTACGAGCCAGTTCCCCTGCCTTCCTTTCATAATCCCCGTCCTCCCATTTGCTCATCACGATCGATATGTTGCGTTGTATTGTTTCTTCTGGTTATCCATTTACAACAAATATCTGAGTAAATTTTTCCAGTTCTTCTTCCCAAAACTCAGAATCGATAAGTCGTAGGCCTCTTGTGACAATACTCCTGAGTATCCCAATCTTCATTAAGTAAGTATAGTGAGACAGGAAGTTAATGATTATTCCTGTATGCTATTTCCTTGCAGTTTCCTCCGAGAGAATGGTCACCATCTTCTAGAACGTTAAGTGTCCATCCTCTTCCACATCCATTGTAATTTAACTTTTTCATCCATGTCGTTTAAAAAGATCAGGACATCGTCTAATTTTTCTACTCCATTCGATCAGAGCGCGAAGTAGTCATCCAAATATTGCATAAGTATTATTGGCTGCTGAGGTGACGTTTTGAAATTATTTTCCAACTTATTAATGTAGACAATCAACATAGATGAGAGTAGTGATCCCATAAACATACCGAATATTTGCGCATAGCTGTGGCCATTGAGCGTAAAATAGGCAGTTCTTACTGTTAAGTTGATTAATCGAGTTGGAAATTATTTTCGGATTCACCCCGTCTCCAGGATGTCATCTTCATTTTCCAAGATCTCCATTAATGTAGTGAGTACGTTTTCTCCAGAGATGTTGGTATACATTGACTGTACATTAAAGCTCACCAAAAGTTTTTTTCCCTCCAAACTTCTATCTTTGATTCCTTAGAAAAATTCGTATGGATTTTTACTGCATTCTATAATCTGTCATTCACCTTTAGCCTGAGGCAGATAAATTTACCTAATTTATATGTTCCGTGATTGGTGTTCACTACTAGTCTCAATGGTTCTCCTTCTTTGTGTACCTTCGGCAAACTGTAAGCTACGGGGGCTTTTGCATCCTTTCACAGGAGTGAATTCTTCCTCCATTTGCCGATTTCCCCGTTCATCTTGATTTACCTTAGCTTTTCTTGCAGTGCCCCTTTCATTTTAACTGTTGGATCTCTTGTTAGCAGTTGTTAAGTTTTAGTGTCCCCGAGGCCGTTTTCCATTTTCTCTGCATATTCCTCCCTATTTGATAGTTTGTTTCCAAGTATCTATTTATCTTGGTTATATTGTTCCTGTACTTGGGTTCTTAATGCGCTAAGATTGTTAGGATAACTTCCATTCTCAGCTCTTCCTGTAGCTTCTCATAAGTATTTATCACCTCCACTAAAATGTCCTTGATTGCCATCCTTTCATTCTGAAGTGCAAAATTTACTCCCTTCTTGAAGATCGCCGTAGCTTCGAGTCCAAGAGGGACCGAAGAAAGGTTCACTACTTGATCTTCATCTCTTGTTTGGACTGTAAGATTCGTCATTCTAGAGTTATCTTCGTTTTTGCCAGGTTATTGGACCTTTGGTTTCAGGAAAACCTCCGGGGTGACAAACCGGCCTAAATCATGCCTTAGTCTAGATCTAATCAAACATGAGCTAGAACAAGCATAATTGCGGTCTCCTTTATCCTTACAGTGCTGGCTTGATCTTGCTTTCGCAACTTGGCCACAGCCTCAGGGAGACCTTGTGGAACGTACCTAGTCCTTTGTCCTCTGCCATAATATTTATGCTTTGCAGCTTTGGACCATTTACTTGGTACATTCCCAAACGTTTCGCCTGCATCACCAGTGAGAGGACGAGGGGCGATGCTACAGTGGCTAAACAGAAAATTGGTTGAGGGGATTGCCTTCACTTGCCACTTTGATAAGTTGCAACTCTGTGCTGACGATGGCGCCTCTTACTGGTAATGCCGACTACGATGCTGGTTAAACGTTTGGGAATGTACTAAGTCAACGTTCCGAAGCTGGAACTCACGAATACTCTGGCAAAGGACATAGGAATAGGTACGTTTCACAACGTGGAACTAACAATAAACATTTCCTATTTCAGTAAATATTTACTATTACTTAAGCCTCAGATGAAAATGTTAATCTATTCAGCTTAATAAAAAAAATTATGCCTTATTTATTGTAGGAACCTGTTTAATTCTTTATACTTATTTTTTTATCACCGATACATTTTTTAAATCTTAATTTATGCCTAGTGTTATTAAAATTTGACTATTTTCCCCAGACTATCTATTGCTGGATCGACTCTCACAAGCTGAATTATTCTTACCAATTTGCTTTCAGAAATTCAATTTAAGTTACGGATATATCACTATTTTATCTTTTTGAGTTTCAGCTTATATATGTTTTTAATGGGCAGTATATAATAGTAGAAGAATCGCGTTTGTTTATTGTATATATTAGGAAACTAAATAACACTTAGGCGCAAGGTATTTGAGGGGACAGTACAGTTTAGACTATATTACTAATTTATATTCAATGTCTCAGGGAAAATATATCTAATAAATCTCAACTGTTTCGAGCATGCCTTATTATAAAGGCCTTTATAAATCCGATATGATCATTGCATTTCTATTGAGGCTATCCGTTCAATGACTATGCAACACGTATCGCGAAGTTATAATAATTTCAGAGTAATATGAACTATTGAGTATTTTATTTAATAGAGAACTGGAGATTTAGTAATACTTCATACCTTATGAAAAAGTCTTTAGGCAAACTGTTGAGTCAATTAATTGCCGCAATAATCGTTTATGTTATGAATTTTGCTGGTGCGGATATGGATGAAGATATTCGTCACTTTACTCCATGTCCTATTTTTATGGTGAATATGACTTCCTATGCATTTGTCAAAATGATTATTTTGACGCAATAATACCATTTAACATTCTCATTCAAATTCCTCCGAATTACATTCTCAGATGGCTTACGCTTTCCTGCCTTATTTACTTTTCGGCATCTACTTGCTTCTGTGTCCCTTCTTTCAGGTCAGTGACCCCAAGCAATCTCGAGCATTTATGCCATCCTCCTCTACAACGGGCAAGCTCTCTACGATGAGTGCATACAGGGCGCTGGACTCCAGTCAAAATACAGCTAACTCTATAAAACGAATTACCGGGGGCTTGACCGATCTTAAGCTTACCCCCTCTAGTGAAATAGGGCAGCGAAACTTAGCCCGTGGTGGCCTCGAGACGAAAAGCGTAAGCAACTCGCAGTCTTCCTCTGACTCTTCATCCCCTTGCGAACCATCCCCGAATTCCGAGTTTTCCGCACGAAATCAGGCCGCGTCCTCTGAACAAATCAAGTCCAGCTGTCATGTTTCTCTTGGCACTGCACCCTCTATTTCCGCCTCTAACTCTTTGTCTTGGCTAAGGCCGACAGAGGCTTCCAGCTTGAGTCCTACGGTGAAAAGAAAGCCAGAGTCCCCGGTGTGTTGTAAAAAGGATGATCAAATCAACAGTATGAATGGATATGAACCCGACTCTGGTCCGTTTGATTCTTCCCGATCTGGCCGGTTGGGTCTTTCAATTATTACCACGGTCTCAAACTCGGTTCCGAGTTATATTTATCCAGCTTCCCATTCGTCAGCACAGTCCTCTCCTGGTGCTGCCGACTCAAGCACTCCCTGTGGTCCGACCGGTTCACACGCGTTATCCTGGCTGACTGGGGTACGTGACAGGCGCAGCCAGTCATCGCGGCCGCTGCCTACAGTACTCGGCGGATCGTCTCCATCGTCGCCGTCGGCAGTGATGACAGCCACGTCGACCTCATCCTCGATTTCCTCTGTCGCTGTTGAGCTTGCTATCGCTAAACAGTTGGTGAATATGAATAATAGCACGGATCGAGTAAATGGGGAGCGTGAGGGCAGCAACACCGGTGGTGGCGGAGGGATGACAAATGACTTGCCGGATTATGTTGCTGCTTCCTTGAACAGTGGCTGTGGTCTGGTAGGATTGAACAACCTCGGCAACACAGTGAGTTAATATATTGTAGCTTTTATCTCTTTATTTTTTGGGAATTATATTAATTTATAATACAACTCATGCTTTGTCCTAGAATTGAATTCAACACATACACTGAAATAAGAAAGCATGTCATTCACTTTCGACATATTGTATACTTTATCTACGTCGATATGACCTGCCGATATCATATGCTAATT